TCTTCCTTAACCCACTTTTTTGTTGTCCATCCCCCAAGGAGGTTATATGTAGATCCCTGTAATTGGTTGCCCCTTCCCACCCCACCCTCAACACTTAACTCTTAACCCCCTATACCAACAGAGCTCATTCTTCATTAGCTACACTAAAAAAAATGTAAAGCAAATAGCATTAATTTAATCATGTCAGTGTTTTCATTGATTTAAGATTTGCATTTGTCTCATGATGTTTTTGAAATTCAGTGTGGATTTTACATTTAGGGCACACTTCAATTTCATGCTAGATTTTCATGGCAAATCCTTGATCTGTATTTAGACTTAAATACCACATTAGACTTAATACACACTTGAAAACTTCACAGTAACTTACTTCCAGGAAGAGGGAGCTGAGTTAGCCCCTCTTCTCTTCATCCCTCTCCGGTTCTCCAAATAAGACCTTGACTCTTCCGACATGTCTCCAAACTCCACTAGCCCAATTAGCAAGAAATGTACACTATCTTGTAAGACCCCGAATTACTACCTGTAGCTGTGCTGTTTCCCCAACCCCGGTATCTTGCCAATTTGATGAGAATGTGGCTGCGAGCTGGAGATCCACGAGCAGACGGAGATCTGGAGCAGAGTTCTTGTATTCCCTTGGCTGTGAATACCAGTTAGTCAGTTTCCGAAGACATCCTCAGCTGATGGCGGCAAGGTGGTCAAAGTGCCCGCCCTCGCATCCTCTTCTAACCTAAACATCAGAAAGACAGCCAGTGCCACTTGGAATTGTCCCATTAGATCTACGGGGTTTCAATAAGTAGATTGCTGGCCTTTTTTCTGAGGTGCCTGTGAATGGACTTGACCTTGCAACCTGCCTTAGCTGCCAAGTGTGTGTATTACCCTTTTGTCCTACAGTGTTAGAGCTTGAGTTTAAGAGACTAGGGACTTGATCACATATTCTGGGGGCAGGAGGTATGGTTATACTGGACCTAGTGGATCCATGGGAATGCTTTTGTATGGAATGTCTTGAAAAAAGGACCGTTAATATATGAAATATGAGGTTTCTGATTTTTCTCATTCTCCAGCGGAGATTCTCCAGGCAAATGACCTCCTCACCCAGGGCGTTCTCCTGTACAAACAGGTGATGGAGGGCCGAGTCACGTCTGTGAATACAGTGACCAGCCCACCAGGAGAGAGAGGTATGGGAAGAGCATCCCCCCCCTGCCTTCTGCCCCGAAAAAGCCGACCAGTGCCAGACAAGAAATGCCGCCTCCGAATGCTCGAGTTGTGAGCTGAAAATGAGAGAATCTGCTTGCCCTCCTTTCTTGTGAAAATGGGTTGGAAATCGCTCTCCCGGGCCACAGTTGCTGTTATGACCTGATCACCAAACTGGCCGCCAGCCATGGTGACAAGTGGGAGCAGATTTTGTGCTTGGATTTGGATTCTTAGGAGTACTTATTTAAGCGGGGCCTGAGAATAAAGAAGCGGTCCTTTCCAGTGGGTCTTAGAGCCAGGCTAGTTGCATCAGACTCACCTCAAGCATGTTAAAATGCCAGATTTTAGGACTTGGTACTTGCTCTCCTAAATCAAGCCCTTTGGGGTTAGGCTTGAGTAGCTGCATTTTATTGAACGCATTAGGAGATTGGCTCATCCGAAATCCCAGAAGGGCCTTTGAGCTAGAGAAGAAAGTCAGGTCTGCTACTGTCCAGGATGCCTGGGTACTTGGGAGGAGAACTCTGGTCCCTGGTGGGAATGCAGCCTTCTGGGCACCACGAAGGTGGGCACTCCGTCCTCGGATGGCTAGCTAGCCCAGATGAGTCAGCGTGTTGAGCTGGGTGGTCTTCTGAAGACCGTCTAGAAGACCTGAGGGAAGCAGTGGAGACTGTTCTTGTGTCAGTTGGCTCCTAACTCTGCTTTCCAGAGCTTCAGACTCCCGCAGACTGCGTGGAAAACTGCCCTCTGATTGACTTGGAGGTAGACAGTGAGTCTGAACAGGCTGGGTCATTGGTGCCATGTCTGCTTCATCAGGACCTGGCAGCCTTAGGTGAGTATGTGCTGTAAGGGGCTCTCGGCACAGAAAGTCCCGAGTGGGAGAAAGAGAAAGGTGGTTCCCTTTGGGGAGACTGTGCTTATCTGAGAAGACCGCATGTCCCAGGCAATTCAGAGTCTCTGTTTTGCTCAGGTTATGTTGAATGACCTTGAATGAGCCATCTTCTAGGCTTTTGTGATATAATGTTCTAGAATGTGGGGTCTTGTGCATGTCGGGTAGAGTTACTGTTGTGCATCTGCCTTACTGTGCTCATTTCTTGCAGGCATCAGTGACGCCCCTGTTACAAACAAGGTAAGGGTCAGGAAGCTCTTGCTAGGGGCCGGGAGGGCGGGGTTATTAGGTGCTTTCAAGGTGGTTCTGACTCTTAGCAGCCCTGTGTACAACGGAGTGAAATCCCTAGTCCTGCAGCATCCACACAACTATAGCTACGTTTGAGCCAGTTTAGTCATGGACAAAAGGCAATCAGAATAGACACGAATTTTTAAAATATGGGATAAGTGGACTGGCAGCTGGTACAGGAAAACCTACAGGTCGAAGCCCTGGCATGGAAGACATGGAAAGACATCGTTTTCAGGAGCCTGATGCCTGAGATGGATTGTTGCCAGGCCTGGAGAACAGCACACTCCCAGGACAATGTGGTTGGCTGCCATCTTTGAGGGGACACCACTCTTTCCAACCAGGGCTGCCCGGGAGGTGTGTTTGCAGCATGTACTCCACCCTCGCTTTTTAAGAGGGAAGTTAAGTTTTTAGCAAGGTATTGACCCGGAATATTCTCCATTTCAATTAGCATTCTGGATTCACCACGTTTTATATAAATTCAGGTCTGTTCCGGTTTTGTTTCATTGCCTATGACTGAATCAGAAAGCTATTCAGAGTCCTGGTTTTGACCCATTGCTGCAGTCACTGTGTCACTCTACCTCGTTGAGGGTGGTCTTCCTCTTTCTCACTGACCCTCCATTTTACCCAGCAAAATGGCTTTTTCCTGGAATTGTTCTCTCCTGAGAACATAACATGTCTTGCTATCCATGCTTCTAAGGGGCATTTATGTCTAATTTCTTCCAAGACAGATTTGTTTGTTCTTCTGGAAGTCCATGGTATGTTCAGTGTTCTTTATCAACACCATACTTCGAAGGCATCAGTTCTCTAGTCCTCTTTATTCATTGTCCTTTCAATTCAAATGAAGCCCTTGAAACGACCATGATTTGGGGAAGGTGCACCTGAGTCCTCAGAGTGACAATTTTGCTTTTAAAAGAAATTTTGTGCACCAGATTTGCCCATTGAACGATGTCATTTGATTTCTTGAGGATGGGTAGGATTTGTCAGATCTGCCTTCACAGGCCAGTGCTGACTGGTGGAGAGAGAAATACTACTGTACTAGCCTGTTGGTGTTCATAGATTTGACGTTCCAAAGCCTCTTCCTCAGCTGCATGGTGTGGCCTGAGTCCTTCAAGGAGCCTTCTTGCTTTCTGTGTACTGCTGCCCTCATCGGTAGTCTCCACGCTCCACTCAGATGTTTTCTTGCCCTTTCTTTCTCCTCTTGCCCTAGGACATGTAGCAAGTCCTGGGCTGCAGCAGCTTTGCTGGCGTCACGGGAGCTGCAACAGTGTTAATGCAACTAGTATCATCCATGCGTTGGCCTTACTTTAGTCATTTCTGGTTTGATAGGTTGCCTGTCAGAAGAATCCTCCTCCCAGCACAGTGCCAGGTGGTGTTCAGAGCCCTTCTGCAGAAAGCAACTTGCTGGACTTCTTCTCAGCACAGCCCTCTCCGGGCCCTCTGTGAGTCTCTGGACAAGGAGTGTGCAGTCTGGCTGCTGGGCACAGTGCTGTCTCATCTGCACCAGGGTCAGGCAGCAGGGGCTGGCCCTCGGAGGCAGCTAAGAGACCTCTCATGCTAAAGAGACTGTCTTCCCACCAGAAGCTCAACATGATGCTTCCTCCTGTTTCCTTTTACACCCATCCTAAATTGCATGAAAGTACATGCTTTCTAGCACTTATGAAAGGAACTTATGTAAAAAGATAATGATGCGTACAAATATAGAACCCACTGCTGTGGAGTTCTGTTTTAGCTCATAGCAACACTAGAGGACAAAGTATAACTGCTCTCCGGGCTTCTGAAGGTTCTAAAACTTGAGGGGAGCAGACAGCCTCATCTTTCACTTGAGGAGTATCTGCTGGGTTTGAACTGCTAACTTTTCAGTTAGCCCAATATGTGACTTATTACATTTAAGTGCTCCTTAAAATTTGATAAATATTACATAGAGTCACTGTACCAGAAAGAACTGATTGACATTGAACCATTTTCCATTTTGGAGGTAACATGAGCAAGGGCCAATGGTGCTGCAGGAAGAAGTTCAAGGTACCAGTCAGAGCTGGCTCCATAGCACCTAACAACAGCAACCACCACCGACATTGGTGATAGTGTTAGGGGCTGCCACGTCGGTTCTGACCCACAGGGAGGGACATGTGATATAGAAATAGAAAATACCACCCCAAAAACGGAATGTTCCTTCATTGCTTTTTTAATTTTAAATATATCAATAAATTACTGTGGCGTGTTGTAACACAAACTATACGCCACAACTTTTTCTCACATTTTTCCACTTATTTAATATTACATTTCCATATCCATCTACATAAATTTTCCTCCTTTTAATAGGTGCATAAGACCTTACTGTACGAGTGTATTTAATTATTTCCCTTGTGTGGTAGTTGAGCCCTTAGAGGAGTGCTTTTATGGGACAGATGCCTGAAAGTAGAGATACGTGGAGAATGAATAAGAAATCCGTTTCATAGCGTTTGCAGACGTCCCCAAGCTCCTCTCCTGAACAGCTGCTGCCGAGAGGGCCCTGTGCTGGGAGATGGCTCCTGTTAGCTCCTTCCCTTTTCGCTTTTCAGCCAGTGGACAGAGGGCCAGGCGTCATTCTAATTTGGGCTGGGTTTTTTCTCCTTTCAGGACTTTTCCAAAAATTTGCTCTGTTTGTGTTCTGAATAGACAAAATGATGAAATGTGAAGTCAGTGTAATTTGTGTATCACCAAGGAGTGCCTGCCACTCAAGTGCGATGGTAGGAAATTTGTCAGGGACGCCTGACAAGTGCAGCTTCAATAACCATCACATGACAATCCATCTGTTGGGTCCGTATGACGTGTAGTCACTTAGCTGAATGCTGGTCGTATGTGGTCTCCTTTAACTCTATGAGTAACTCCGTGAGGTAGATAGTTTCATTATCTCCATTTTATAGATGAGGAAACTGAGGCAAAGAAAGATTAGGTTACTTGCTAAGTGTCATACCTCTGTAGGCCTACAATATGTATACTTTCTGCTTGTTCTTCAGAAAGCCTAATCACAGTTGCCTGGGATCTTCAGAATTTTTGCTGATTTTTAATTTTTTTATTTCTGTGCAGGAGTTCTGTACCCCAGAAAAGCATTCCTAAGGAGGTACCACCAGGTACTAAGTCCTCTCCAGGTTGGTCCTGGGAGGCTGGCTCACTGACTTCTCCTTCTTACCAAAATACACCTCTGGCCCAACTGTTTGTCCCTTTGGAGGCCGTCAAACCCAGTAAGTGCAGTTTCATCCCTCCCCCGACCCACTTTCTCTCTTGCTCGAATGCTCTCTGGTAGACCTTAAGTTCCCTGGTGTCTTGAGCTACAGTTGACACACTGTGAAGGATATCGGCTGGCAAAATGTAATTGTCATGAGTGGACTTAGGGACATGATGTTAATTCATTTGGAATTCAGAGACAGGACTGTTCAGTGTGGCCTGGAGTGATTGAAAAGAGGAGGGAACTTTTGAAGGAAGGGAAGAATTTGGTTAGTGATCCTCTGTCTTCAATGGTCTTCATTAAAGCTGGAAAGTGGCTGCTAGCTCTGTTCTAGAGGAAAGGGAACTGAAGGCCCAGCTAAGGTAGGTCACTGCCTGTGGTCTGTGCACAGCTTTAACTCTCCTTTAACTCTATGAGTAACTCTGTGAGGTAGAACAAGGGGTAGAACAAGAAATAGCAAGGGCTTTGGGCTCCAGAGGAGCTCTGTTGGCAAAGTTGGGCTGTTGATCTCAAGATCAGCTGTTCAAAACCACCAACTGCTCTGTGGGAGAAAGACAGGGGTTTCTGCTCCCCAAAAGAGTTCAGTCCGAGAAACCCACAGGGGCAGTTCTGCCCTTCACTTTAGGGTTGCTCTGAGTCGGACTTGGTGGCAGTGAGGGTGTTTTTGGTTTTCCGCTCCAGAGCCAGGACTTTGAACTCTAGAGCCCTCCTCGGGTGTGGTGAAGCAGATTGCAGAGGACCCTGAAGACAGGCAGTAGAATTTAATGCAGATAGCTCCAATAGTTTACTCTCGACAACTGACAGGTTGGTAGTTTGAGTGTACCAGTGGTGCTGTGGAAGAAAGGCGTGGCAGTCTCCATAAACCAAACCTTTTCCCACTGAGTTAATTCTGGCTCCTAGCAACCCTGTAGTAGGACAGAGGACAACTTCTCCATGCCACATGTCTGTCCTGAGGAGCAGCTAGCTGATAGACGGGTTTGAATTGCAGCAAGCACTGTGCTCCTGCCTCAAGATGACACCGAGGACGTCCTATCTGTGGAGCAGCTGCTCCTGAAGCACCCGGGCTTGCCAGGAGTTGAAACTGGTTTGATGCAACTGGTTGTTTTTTTAAGGCAA